ACTCTGTACTTTTGTGAAATATATATACATGTTTAACAAAAATTCATAGCGCTACTTTATTTATGTATCACGTCTACATTTTTTTTAAATTAGCAATTATAATATTCAAAAGAGCAAAGTTTCAGCTTTAAGAATCTGTTTTTTTTTTAATTGCGATATGATTATTTTTAACGAAGTTACGAACAAAGTCAAAATATTCTTTTATTTAATCCGCGTAACTCAATAACAAAAAAAGACAGGAAAAACATTTTTTTTTAATGATTTTATAGGGAAAACTTCAATTAGCTTTAAAAAGTAAAAAATGTTCGCAAGCTCATTTTTTGGACACATGACAGAATCACAAAGGGATTGGGAAGAAAATATTCTATTTTGTCCAGCTTGTAATTTTTTTATGAAAAATTTGAACCGAACTCATAGAAACTCAAAAAACTTAGTGACCTTTCAGAAGCAAAGATTTTAAGCTTTTTAAAATAATCTTTTCAAACATAAATTTCATTCATTTTTAATGGAATTACAGCTGCTTAAATTTTAAGTTCATAGTGCTACGAACTTTTGTTCCTACCATTGGGCTATATGAAACCAACCGTGCTCGCTTTTCCGACGTACAATATTTAACAAGATCTTGTAGAATTTTCCCTTAAATTCGTAAGGATCCGACTTGCGGATAACGCAAGAGGACCGCGAATCTCTCGAGAGAGACTGATGTATAACTTTCTAAATAATTAAGTTCAGAACCGCACTTTCGCGTACATATCCTGACTTAGCAGAATTCTAATTGACGGAAAGTAAAGCATCGTCTATCGCATCCAAAGTTAGCGATTCTCTCCCCCTCCATCCCTCCTTTCTCTCTCTAAATCGGAGTTTCGAATAGTACTATGTTAGAATATAAATAAACATGCAAAAATAGACGAGAATGTATAATATTTTAAATCTGTATTCTGACATTTCAATGCGTAAACGAAATCAAATAAACGATTTTTATCTCTAGCAGTTTTTCTGTAAAATTGATAGTATTTGAGTAAAAAGTTATTGAAAACCAATATTCAGCGATTTTTAGTAATTAATATCTTGTTAACTATTGAGAAAATTGCGAAATGCTAAAAGACTTTTCGACTCAGTTTTTTATTAGGAATAGCACTATATGAATAGTGTACGTTATTTCAGATACACCCTATATATATATTTTTTTGTTAGCTTTTGTGTGTGTGTGTGTGTGTGTGTGTGTGTGTGTGTGTGTGTGTGTAAATATTCTCATTACAATGATAGTATTCCTGGAATGAATCTGAAATGTCTATATTAATATTTTTCTTTGCAAGAAAATTGTAATAGTTTTACCAGATCACGTAGAGAAACACTGTCGTAAAGGTTTGTAAAATACTGCCGAAAAATGTAGCTCGTAAAAAGAAGGGATTTCAAAGGTCCAATAGCGATCCACAGGTGGTTGCGAATAAATCCGCCCAAGATTACAAATAAATTATATGGCCACCTGAAGCAATTCCACGGAGGATCCGATGATCCCTTTTGAAGATTCATGTAGGACGAGAGGTCGGCCGACCCATCGTAGATAGTCGGCGCACCTTCCATGAAGATAGATCAAAGAACCGCGCACAATACAAGCCACCGTACAAGGTGTCCTGATAATAACCCATCAGAACTCGGGTTTCATTAGACGGGAAGACCATGCACGACGTAGGGTTGTGTGTAATTGTGTATGCTGCAACAAGCCCCTTCGAAACTCTGCAAACTCAACGAGTAGTCCTTTGATAGAACGCGTCCTTTGCCTCGAAATTTTCCTATATTGTGTAAGGACGAGAAATTTCACTATTATGTTGTTTCGGTAAATCACAGTGGTTTAACTTCGGCTGTTAATTGTGCAATCATGCTTCGGAGAACCCCGAAGCTAATGTATAATGTTAATGCCTTTGAGTGGCGCTTCATTATATCTCCTGACGCGCGTCTTACATAACCCTCAAGACGATAATAGCAATTGCATAAGCTTCATATTATGCAAAATAAAATCATATACAATGTTTAATATTATTTAGATGTCTGGGAATACAGTAAAGATAAAAATATTTAAAAAAGATATTTATATATTAAATATATTGTAAACGTAATATATTTAATATAAAAAAATATCTTTCTTAAATTAAATAAAAATATAATATAATTTTGTATAAATTTTTTTATATTTTAATAGATTTTGCTAAAAAGAAAAAGGAAACTTCTTGAAATTTATTTTTCAATCTGCTTGCTGTATTATTTGTTAAAACTGAGAAATTAGTTGATTACTTTTACGTAATAAAAATGTCTTAATACGCAATTACCTTAAATTGATTGACGTGTCAACGAATTCTAAATTAAAAAAAAAGAAGCTTTTTATTATTTCATCATTTTCCATGCAATCAAATCCTATGGCAAACTCAGCCAAGACATCCATAACACTTTTCAGATCTCATTTGCTAAAGAAACTCGGAGAAGGGGACTCCGTTATGGGCGCGCGTGTCAGCCTAAAAGTTAGAAAAACAAGTTTCTTTGGGGACTAAGTACATTGTGGCGAAGACTTCACTTACGCCGCAATGAATATTGACAAGAGCTTATTTAAATATTGACCGATACGAGTTTCGTCAGTATCGATCGACATGAAGTCTCACGTCGTCGTCGCGGTTGTGGCATTTCTTTTGATTCCTCCGAAGCCAGGCCATCGATTTTCGTCGCCGTAAAGCCGCCACCCCCTTAAATACCCATCTTGCCACCATAGCGTGAAAAAGAAAGTGAGGGTTGCCGCTAATCCTCTTCTATTTCACATTGTGCTTATTGAATCGTGTAAAGAGAGCGCGTTAGGGCTCGAAGTCTAAAAATAAGAGCGATGTCAATCGGTAGCTGAACCCACGCAAGAGATATTTATCAAGAACGAAACACGTTCGAACTTCCTGGATTTTGTGTTGATAATCTGTGTACACAGATTGCGCAATTTCGCGTAATACTAGCTTAAATGTAAGTTGTCAGGTAGGGAAAAAGAGAAGAAATAAAGAAAGACATGTGATTGACGAAGCTACAGTGAATTTAACTGAATGATTGCTTAATTGATTGTATAACGACAAATAATTTTGTGAGTTTTATGAATAAACCTCTCATTGCCATTTATTTCTTCTTTAATCTCCCTTTTTTTCGTAATACTTTAATGCGACATTTAAAAAATTTGAATAAAAACTAAATAATATGTGAAATCACAATTCCTAGCTTATATTTCCCAAGCTGTGTGATTACAGAGCCACACAATAATGATAATGGAGGTTGTTAAAAAATATTTGTTAAATTAATAAAAGTCTCTTTTTCTCCATCCCGTTTTCACATCTCGCATTTTCTATATTGTCAAAATCGCGAAAGCCATTTCTCGTTTTCCTCGCGAAATGTATAACAGTTTGCGTAAATTCAATTCTACGTCTGCATTGATTTGTATGAATACATTTATCCCATCGTTGCTCGGTTCTTTTTGTCAAACAATTCACACCGCATTTGGCAAGGTCTGCAAATGTCGCAAGTACATGATACAACGTGCCAGGCGTATACTGCACGTGCATCGTTGCAGCTGCACGTGCGTTGCATTCGCAGAGAAAATTTGCCACTAATAAAGCCGACCGAATCGTGAGCAACGTCGACGGTTTACAAAGTCATTCGTATACGCATTCATCGATTGTATAGGATTCGCGTCGATATGCGTTTTTATCAGCATCGACAAAGCCGAAGGGCCACAGCCAAATTGATTCTGATACGCAAAGGTAGAATTTATACGAATGGTAAAATAAAATCCGTCACGCATGTAATATTCGTCAGCCAGTTTGGCCCCAAACCAAACATTGTCAAACGTGACAGTGACGAGCGAATTCTGGTTAGCGACAAAAAGTTACAAATATTACCCGTCGAATTAATGTATATATCCTCGAGCTATATTACTTCAATTGTGATTTTTTATTAAATTTGATTATGTATGTTTTATATAACTAAATTATATAATAGAGAAAAACAACATTTAAAAGCATAATTTATCCATTATTCGCGGCCTCATGTTATAATAAATCACAATGCGTTATCAAATTAGCACTCGCGACCGCACTTGATATCTGATTTCCTTTGTTAAGTCCATTAACGCTTTTTCCACATCCTTCAACGCTTGCAAGATCCTTCTTCATCCTTCTCCTTCTTCGACTCCCTTTCCTTTAATCTCCACCCTTCCACTTTTCTCTAATCCAGTATTAAACTTTCTCTTCCGACTACGCTCTTTTCTACCTGATCCCCGGCTTATAGCCACTGATCCGGCATTAAAACTCTTCTTAGCAGCCTCGTTCTCGATCCTCTTCTTGTGACACTCGTAATCCACTGGTTCTTCCTCATCTTCGTTCATGAGTACGCATACGATTCTTTCGTTACAATCAAAAAATTATGATTCGTCTCATTGTGGATATTTCTTCTGTTATATGAAGGCGAAATTACCAAATCTTTTAAGAAAAATCGCAAGATTATTTATTGTTCTAGATTATTTAAATAAAAATATACTTGTACTTTTCCTTATTAAATTTCTAAAATTGAATATTTAAATAGTTTCTTATGTTTATAATTTACAAGAAATAATTACCGAAGAGAGAATTTGATATTAAAATTACGGAATTACTTTTTTTGGAATTTTTATTTTAAAAAATCTGTTCCTAAAATTTTTTTAGAAAAATATGCTAGTTTACTGTTTCTAATACATTACTTTGGGAATATCTTGATGCAATATTAGAAAGCACTTGCTTATAAAATTTCCTAAATAAAAATCATAAATATATAATTTCTATAATGTTTTTTATTTAATAGGTATTATTAGATCCTAATTTTGCAAAAGCATGTGGAAGAGCTAACTGAAATTAATGCAATTCGAGATCTGAAAGAAATGCTAGTCGAATTCAGCTAGCTGCAGTTGACTGTAGTCTAACAGTAAAACTTTATTTCTATTTTAGTTGCTAAGCTCGATCGTGGTAGTCGGCGGGACGAACGTAGCCGGCGCACTGACACATCACCCACGGGAATTGGCGCAAAGACAGGCATTTCTTGAAACCCGACAGTGTGTCGAAGCACGTCTGACCACGCAGCGAGAGAATCAGCAACAGGTATGCTACTGCATTTGCAGTAAATTCATATTTGACGCGAAATAATTGATATGTCATTCGATGCATAATAAGAACGAATGAATTAAAAAATCAAACGACAAAGCCGATAATGTTATAAAGTTGAAATTAGTAATTTCAATAATAAAAATCTATAAATGTGTATATTTAATAATTGTAAAAATTATCTTCGAAACATAAAGATATAAAAACAAATCTCTGATTATTTTTACGACCATTGCATTTTAGAGAAAAACTTTCAAGTTGAATTTTAGAAAGAAAATTAAAAACCTCCTATGAATGTACAAAACAAGGAGACTTCTCTTGCGCACAAGTGTCAGGTATAATACTCATATTATACTTATACATAATAAATATTGCTTGTAATATATAAGTTACTGAGAGATGCGTTATCCAGAATAAATCAAAAGAATAAAAAATAGAAAGGTAATACTCTCAACGAAAAGATCAGATCTCTAAGAAAATTGAAAATTAATTTAACATTAAAATTAAAAGACAACAATGAAACCTACATATCCATAAAAGAAGAAAAACAAATAGAACGGAGAGGTACAACGCAATGATTTTTTTCTCACATATAGCTAATTGAGTATCTAATTGCAACGTACATTTGTTTGTTATTTAATAATAATTTTATAATAAACAATATTATTTATAACAATATTATTTATAACAATATTATTTATAATAAACTTTCTAATTTTATCAATAGATAAAAAAAGATAAAAGTTCTATTTATTAAAATATTTAATATTGTATTTGTTAATTCTCTATATTAAAAAGATTTTTTTTCAATGTAAAACTTCAATAAAGAATATCACTGTGGATCTCTTTCGATTTCGATAAGCTATTCTTATATTTTTTCCATAAATGATAAAGAAATATGGCCAACTTAATCTCTGTATATTAACAGTAAAGGAAATTATTATTATTATTATATTTGGAGACGTCAAGACAGAGACAATTGAGAGATCCGTTTTAACGTCAGATCTAATAATGTTATAGAAGCATAACGATCATTATCATTCCTGTGGCAATTAACATTCTACCAGAATCTCGAATAATTGACGCCTTTATTAATTATTAATGACGCCAATGTAAACCACACGTGAATGTACAAAGGGGAATTGTAGCCTATGTTCAGAAACCACGAATATGCTTGAATATGACGCCTTAATCACAGTAAGTAAACTAAAAATCCTTCATAGAAGATGAAAATTAAAGTTATTCAAAATTTAAATAAAACAAACTCGAAGATACTTTTAACGGAGAAGGAAATTTTAATCGTCTCTTTAATTATTTTAACGAATCTAACAATTTTGTTACATTTTGGAGGAAAATGTCACTTAATTCATATTATATAAATATTAAGAAACGAACTATCACATTAATGAGGATTATGAAATTTGGTTCTTTAATTTTTCATATTACACCATATGTCACAATTTATTATACGAATTTGGTAAATAAAATGTGTTTGAGTTTTGATTCATAAAATAAAAAAAATAAAGATAAAAATTTTTCGCGTCACCGTTAAAATGCACCAAATACCGTTTTGATTGCTTTAGATGAAGCACTTTTGCAAAACTAAAATTAAGTGAAAAGCACTTATATACCTACATATGAAAAAATTTCAAAGAATCGATTTTTCTTAAACTGCTTGAGATCTTTTCTTTTTAGATAATACAATAATATCGACAGAATTCTGACTGGGGATATTAGATAAAACCGAATTTTAAAAGTGTGCTGAATAAAAACTATAACTATGAAATTTTGCGAATTTTTCGATTGCATTTTTTAGCGCTTTCAACAAATGAAAATTGAAAATCTATAGAAGTGATTAAAGTAGGTACATCAGATACTGTAGTCGCATAATATTCGCGCAAATTCAATCAACTACAGGGCTTAAAGATGAAAATGTGCCGCTATGGATCTCAAACTCGCGTATATCATCGGATACGCGATTAGAAATTTCTTGCACAAAGAATTCAGAGTATGGCGATAACGAACAATTCGATTTGGAGTTCCATTCAAAGATGCGAAAGGATTCGCCGATCGAACATTTCACAAGCGATTGTCGTTAAACGTATATAGGTAAGCGTATGTATAGAAAGTATTCAGAATCATTTTGCATTCTTTCATTTCTGTAGATTTCCCGATAAATTTGCAATCAAGTTTTCTGCAGCAAAAACTCGAACATCGATTTTAATAAACGCATAATCTTCCATATAGTCATATTTGCATTTTTTAAATATCGAATTAATAATATATGTGACAGTATGACATTAAATAAATTTTTTTAGAATTAACAAATAACGAAAAATTACGCTATTTTTAGATATGCAAAGAAAAATGTTTAATAATTGTATTTGTATTTCCTCAATAAATTGAGAAATAAAATTTTCCACGTAAATTATACTATCTCATACGCAACATAGCAAATAAAGGGAGAGCAATGTTATGGGGAGATTTACGTAAAAAAAAAAAAAAGCTTGATGTGCGCCAGTGTATAAAATCAAACTGCATGCTCACTTTATTCAATCCTTTATTGCCCATCCAGATGTTGTTTTTAACTCATACATGGCCTTTGTGGGAATTTTATCCCACGGAAACATGTTAAGCGATATTGCATAATTATATTGTCAGGAGACATGGTAATGTCTCGACCTAAGTCAAGCGCAACGACATTGCCGTGGTTTTATGATACCACAGGCTCGATATTTGAGCGCTATTTTGTCTTATTGTTTTGTCAGAACTTCAGTATTGCTCGTATTAAAACAAAAGTCTGCGTTTAAAAGCGTACGAATCTGGCCGAAAAATGGTGGCCGGCTGACAAAGCCTCGAGTGAATTTATTTTGTGTGAACGTGTCGTCCAACAGCCAGAAAATAATGAACAAACTATTTCCCGAGGCACAAGGACTTTAATAAAATAGAGTGCGTCGATTATTCAGTAACTATTTTTTTCAACCTGCGAATATTTCCAGTCGGTCTTGTTAAAGCATTTCCATCTAGCTAAAGTAAACTTTTTTAAATAACAGCGTAATATGCTTCGAAGCAACGTTTCTCTTATTTCTGAGACAAATGAACGAATGTAATGAACAAGCAGCTCTAACTTTGTCATTACTTCATTTCACTGCTACTATTACTTCTTCGTTTGTGTGTATGTGTGTGTGCTACTGTTTTTCCTTTATTAAGCATTCTTATTTTTACTTATCTTTTTTATTCCGTTACTTCAAATATTTATATAATTCATTTATTTTTCGACAATAATGACATAACTCAAAAATTATTATTTCGGTGTTGTTTATAAAAAAAAATCGATAACATAAAGAAAAAAGAAAGAACATAATTAAAAAAAACATATAACTCTAAAATCTTTGGAATCTAATTGTGTGAAGAGTAAAATCTCATTCTTAAAAGTTGACAACTGATCCACACTTTATCAAGATTGGATCAACTGTCACCCTTTGTCACTCTTTAGAATTAAATTCCACTTCAAAAATTTTAAAGAGTACTTTTATTCTTTTACAGTTAATTATTGCACCAAAATTTGAAAATTAATATTACAAAATTTTAATAATAATTTAGAACATTCAAACTTATTTTTCGGAAAACTTTGTTTTTTAAGTTGTATCGTTTTGTAGTAAATAAGCGATGTATATGTATATTTTAGGTTTTTTTATATATTTCTTTCGTTGTAAAGTATATAATAACGTAACTAATATAAACAGCAGAGCTAAATGTTTTTATACGTAGTGTCACACGTCAAAAGAGCTTAAAATACTACCGTTTTGTGGGAAGGATCACGATCGGAAATCTCTGATTACGGTTTATTTCCAGCGCTGTACAAAAATAACGGAAACCGAAATAATCGCCGGCAGGCTGCGAAGTCTATTAAAGTCCATTAAAGATAGAGTTTTATCATATATTTCTCGCTCATGATCACGCTACTGTCGTGACGAGAAGGGCTTTATACTATTAATCAGAAATCCATGAACAGTTGTGATATCAATCGGCTATTGTTCACGCTTGCTCGATCATCCACGGTTTATCCCGTATATATGCGACATATCGCCATTGAAGTACAATGTCGAACGTGTGGGTATGCGTTTAACAGTGACGAATATATACCGAAATGCTGTCTCGTCTCTCTCTCTGATAACCGAGAATCGCTTCGATTACCAATAACAAGGCAGTTCACATTTGCGTATTGCAGAAGCAGCAATAACAAGAATAATGAGACGTTATTGCGAAAAAAAGAAAACTAAACAATATACCTGTGCAAGTGCAGTTGTCTCTTGTATTTCATGTAAATTTCCGTGCTCATTGACCGAACATGATATGCAATATCAATTTATTCTTTTACTTTTATAAGTATACGGAAAGAACGGTTTTACTGAAGTAGCTCTAAAAAATTCAGCTAAACAAAGATCTGAAAATAATTTTGTTGGACCAGCGAAATAATTATATAGGATTTATGCTCGAATATAGGATTTATGCTTTATTTTGGCAAACGCCTTGTTTCATCAAATTTCCATCTTTATATGTTTCACATTATATAATTATATATTTTCCTATCATTTCTCTTGTAAGCTCCAAAATCATAATTTGAAGGTCTCATGATATTCTTATAAATTATTCAAATGTAGGAAATTTCTTTTTGTTTGGAAATATACTTGCTAGAGTGGCAAAACTTTTAGGAGCACTGTTCATCATGCTTGAAATTCCTACAATCATTTGGACGACAGTCCAACAAAATTATTTTCAAGTCTAGTATCTTTCTGGCAAAATTTTTAGACACTTGAATAAATTTTTCTTTCCGTGTAACAGTTATTCTCTTCAATCTAAATTAATGTTAATAAATTAACAATCTAAATTAATGTCGTAAAACAAAATACATAATTTATTTTGTTTCTATCCCTTCTTAATTTCAAATTTGGAAAGAACAAAGAGTCACAATTAAACTAGAACTAAAAATAGCCGATACCGAAGAAATCAATATTGGAAGAATCGACTCCGAGAAGAATGTTAATAAGTAGTCAAAAATAGCTCTTCGATTTCCGGGTTTAAAAATAAATTTATGACTGATTCCCAAATGAGACTTCTGTCGAAATATCATTCATTTAGTTTCACTTATATTTAGACAAATGATAACACCAATTAAAGATATCTTCTATTTGTACTTAGCGTTTAATGAAAATTCGCGATTCCTAATCGCTTGTAATACTTAGTTTTGTACATCATCGACGAGACAAACGTGTGGCAGCACGATAAAAATAATTGTGACGCTATAGAATCGGAATCGAACGACATGTCTATATTACATGTGGGCTTGCACATCGTGATGCAGATTCTAAAAGCGCACACAACTACGTCCGCGCGTATCGACCATCAATGCGAAGTTTGTCGAACGCGTCGTCGACTTTACCAGCACTTGAGAGGTTCTCACGATGTTGACGAGTTCCACGTTCCGAACAATATACGCTGCTCGATGCATGTTTCTCGCACGTGTGTGTTAACCGAGGCCGTCAGTTTGATGTACATGATCCCCACGGAATAGCAAAGATTACTACCTATCGGAAGGCTGACTTCCTTTTTAGTTCGCGATAGCGCGGTGGTTTTCAATCGACAATCGTGGGAACATCCGTGAGCGCGCGCAATGTGCTGCTTTCCGCGATACTTTAATGTCAGATTTCGCGAAAATCTCGAGACGTCGTGCGTTAAGAAATACTGTGACAGTAAATATACAACATTTAAGAATTTCGTGGCTCTCTGAGCTAGAAAGTTTATTGCAACCAAACGTTGCGTTAAAATTTTGAAAACGTGAAATCCATTTGAATCTAAATAATTACATTTAGATTCAAATCAGATTTATCGTTTGATCACACAATATACCTATGCGTTTGGTTTATGAAAATTCTTTTCATTTTCCATCATTTACAATTCCAAGAATGTATTGTATCAGAAATTGCATTATGACAAGTCAACCATTCGGAAAATCTGCAATTAAACTTAAGGAAAGTTCTGACGTACTACATGGATATACCTGTGCAAGCACGTAACAAGCGTGCACGTGTACCTACAGTAGATTAATAGAGCATAGTAGTTATTGAATAACACTTTAGCTCTTATGTCTATATTAACCTGCATATCCCCCAAGCTGGCCTATCCATTATGATCCTCCACAAAGGATGCTTTCAGGATATGAGATCCATTCCAATAGATTAGTTTGATAACATTGCTATTAATCCATTATCATATATGTATATAAGAATTTGTTTGGTACATACAGTAGGTATATTGATAAATCTAAGAAAATGTTCAATTATGTTACTTCAAATTATGTTACTTAAAGTAATTGTTTGGAGAGACAACATCATAAGAGAATATAAACTGTATCATGTAATTAACGAGACGTATTATGCGAGTAAAATTAATTGAAGAAAATTGTATTTTATTATTATACGTAATAATTAATTAATACATTATATATAATATCTCCTATTTTTTTGTATATTTTATATCTGAAAATTATTATTGTATAAATAATAATATATTATATAATAATATATTTATAATTTAATTTTTACATTTTGATTTATTTTTATTATAGCTTTTATATATTTTATTATCTCTATTTTTTTAATGTTTTTAAATTAAGCCAAGTATTGTAAAAATATTCCCATACCGTTAACTTATTTTTCAGGAGAGGCTTTTGCTCAGCGTATTACCAAGGCATGTCGCCATGGAGATGAAAGCCGATATAGCTGGAAAGCCGAAGGACACGATGTTTCACAAAATTTATATTCAAAGACACGAGAACGTCAGGTATGTGGTGCCAATGGTCCGCGAACGAATAGCAGCCACTTAAAAAGAACCAAAGTATCACTTGGAAAATGCCACTTTGACATTTTATAAATGAGACTCAGTTTCGCTTTGTTATAAAGCTCAAAAGAATTTACATAACTATTTTATATATTATGTCCTCTACGCACGCTTACTACTTAAACTGAAATTGACAGTAGATTAAACCTCATAATCCTTGCCCGCTGCTTTTTACGCTATCGCAAAATTTTTATTTTTTTTGGATTTTAAACTCGTTGTAAAGTGCCTCTACGTTTCATCAAACGCAGTTAATTATGAATCACAAATCAAAAGCATGTACACAGAAAGAATAGTTTTACTGAAGTACTTGAAAATTCAGCTAGATATAGGTCTGAAAATAATTTTGTTGGATCATCAAAATATTTATGTAGGACGTTCAAACTGGTTACTTATAGAATGTCAACATTTTTCAATGTGTGTTTGAGTATCCTACATATTTATTTCTAACAAAATTATTTTTAGATCTGTATCTACCTAAATTTTTAGATACACTAAGGAAAAAAATTATTCATTTGAATAAATCATTTATTTGATTAAATTAATTTCTTTGACTTTATTTTTTCGTTGTATGTATTTAATGCTCGTTTTTACCGATATAGATTAACTTTAATCTTAATTTAATTTACTATTTATATTTTCTACACGGAGAAAATTTTCTTTTAAAATTTACCTTGAAAATGTAATTGTGGTACACTGTAAAAAAAAATCAGGAAATTCAATTCGAATTGACGTAAACCAACTCAATCTCAGAATTAAATATAGCGAACTAACTGTCAGGTTGCGTCAAGAAAAATTTCAACTTGCTTTAATATCTTCCTTGTGTTAAATAAACGTTGAATTTATTTCTATAAAATATTTATAAAATTGATTAAACTATTATTGACAGTAAACGAACATAATTGTATTGTCAATAAAAATACTTTATGAGCCCAATGAAAAAAATCTGCAATAGAATAAACTGATTTTAATATTTGACTGAACTGTTCTACGAAGTAATGAAAACTCAATAAATTGTTGAAAATAACAATTTTGAGGTGATATCTATTTTGTTTCCGAGTGAAGTAGATTTAATAATTTATTTAATAGGACAATTCATTAAATTTATTTGATC